ATTCAAAGCAGAATACATTATTATGACTAATAATGGTAGATTGGGTTCCACTAGAATGCATATGGGGAAAACTTCAGTTCATCTAAATTGAACCAAGCAATTTCATTTGCATCAATTTTCATTTTGTTTGCCCTCTACTTGCTCTTGATAAGAATAGTAACAATCTTTCTGTTCAGTACTTAGCAACATGCTTTAAATACAACTTTAAAAGCTATTTATTATAGAAATAATGGATCCAATTTCTGTAAAAAAAAAAAAGTACATATGACATGGAACTGCACATCTCATAAGATTTTATCTATACAATTTTGATGACATATAGTTGGCAAAAATATAGAAGTCATTGTAATTTTATATAATAGAAACAGATTATTTCACCATGACATCTGCAAACTCAAATAGTGGGATATGAAAAGGGTGACTTTATATCTCACTATGTACTAGTGATCACTTGGATGTATACATGTTCAAGTAAACGTCAAGAAGGTGCAACATTTACTCAAAATATACACTGGGAAAAGGAAAGTGCATTCTTTGAAATCTATGATTTTACATATCAGGACATATTTTCCTTAGCTGGTCTTAAAATTAGGTAAATACAAACTCAGATTAACATCAAAACATGACATATTACACTGTGTCGTGATTTATTTAACACAAATAAAAGAAAAATGAAGAAGCCATGTGTGAAAAAAACACCTTATGATCCAATCGCTTGTAGATTCACCTTTAGCAGCAATAACTTCATGTAAATGTTTTCTGTATGACTTCATCAGTCTCTCACATCATTGTGGAGGAATTTTGTCTTACTCTTCTTTACAACATTGCTTCAGTTCATTAACATTTGATGGCATTGTTTATGCACTGCTCTCTTAAGGTCCCACCACAGCATTTCAATTGAGTTGTGGTCTGGACTTTGACTAGTCATTGCAGCACCTTGATTCTTTTTCAGCCATTCTGTTGTAGATAAGCTGGTATGCTTGTGATCATTTCCAGAGAGAAGAGTCTTTCTCCTGGCAACACATCCAAACAAACCATACTGGTTCGGTATTTTTATAATTGTACTGTTATTTTACATGCTAACTGATGCCTGTAGGGTATGAGATGTAACTCTTGGGTTATTTACAATTTGTTGGAACATTGCACAATCTGACCTTGGGGTGAATTTGCTAAGACATCCACTCCTGGAAAGTTTGACAACTGTCTTGAAGGTTTTCCACTTCTGAAAATCTTTCTTACTGTAGAATTATGGACTGCATTGTAAGGACATTGCCTTATAACCTTTTCCAGTTTGATGGGCAGCAACAATTGCTTTTCTAAGGTCATTTATGTTATCTTTTCTTCTTGACATTGCATTAACACACACCTGAATGCTCCAGACTAGCAAACTGCCAACACTTTTATGGAGGTGGTCACACTTGCTGATCAATTATTCAAGGGCATTTGATTAGCAGCATATTCCTATGGAAGCAGTAAGCATGTATTTAGTTGTTGTTTTGTTTTTTACACATGGCCTCTCTATTTTGGCTTTAGTTTTGTTAAATAAATCATGACACAGTTTAATATTCCTTGTTTTGCTGTTCATCTGAGCTTTTGTTTAGTTAATTTTAAGACCTTCTAAGGAGTAGCTGATTCTTCTTATGTCCTGATATGTAAGACCATAAAATTGGACGAGGGAGCACTTTCCTTTTCCCATGACTGCAGCTGTTTGCTAAATTGAAATATGTAATCTAAATTCATGAAATATTGGTGTAGTACATTTGAACTATGCATTTACACACTTGTTTATGCTTTATGGTGCCAACTTCAAGGAATTTGTGTGCAATTACTTTTATTAGTCTTTCTGTTTAGTCACTAGAAGTTCCCAATCTCATGGGTTGGGGCCTGTGAAATAATTGGGGGTGGGGGGCATAGTCTTGATGGCAGTGGCTTCTTTCAGCAAGGTAATACAACCTGTACAAACATTGTTCAGGAATGGTTTGAGTAACATGACAAATATTTCGAGGTGTTGCCTTGGCCTCAAAATTCCCCAGATCCCAATATAAATGAGCATCTGTAGGATAAACTGGAGAACAAATCCGATCCATGGAGGCCTCATCATGAAACTTTACAGACTTAAAGGATCTGCTGCTAATGTCTTGGTGCAAGATACCACAGGACACGTTCACAAGTCTTGTAGGATCCATGCCTTGATGCATCTACATCTTGATTGTTTTAATGTTGTGGCTTATCAGTGTAAATAGACAATGGGGGGGAGGGGAGGATGCCATTGTTCAACTCCCTAATAGTGGCATACCACCTCCATTCCCTGGTGGCTTGGGGTTTCCACTAAAGTACACTGCCTAC